AAATTATCAGAGCAAACAAATCCAAATTTGAAATAGTTCTCACTAGGTTGCCTAATAAGTGATTTAAATTTATATTTTGGACTATATGTATAATGTCTGTGAATCTCACAAGTATTAAATTATAATTAGATATTAATTCAAAATTATACTTTGTAGTAGGAAAATAAATCATATATTTAAAATACTTAAGGAGACTATAGGCCTTTTTTACTGTAACAAATCAGTTTTAAGATAGAAGAAGATTGTTCATTTTCTTTAGAGTAGTTACATAACACTTTTGAAAAGGGGAATTTTAAGAAATGCTACCATTTAATTTAGCAGTTAAAATGCTAAACTGTCCACAAAATGTAAATATTACTCATACTCAAGTATAGTTAAAGTATTTTGAGCAATATTTTTATAAGGTAATAAAGGCCCACAGTCTCTTACTGAATCAATTAAATTATTTTACACTATTATTTGCTTTTAGAAGCGAACTTAATTTTTTAATTTCTACAAACAAATAATGTCATTATAGAATTTCATACTTAATCAGATTTTGGATATTTTACATCACAAACCAAGGATAAAGAAATATACAAATCAAGACAGTTTTTAAAAATTAACAAAATCAATTATGTTTTATTAGAGAGAAATGATGATGATAATGATTAAAACATATACCCTCTTTTGGGGGAGTAAAGTTTAAAAATGAGAGAAAATTAAATCAAAGGAAGGACCTAAGTATTGGAAACATATATGCACAAAACTTTGGTACTGACAATAAATACATTGCAGTTAAAACAATAATCAAACTTACAAAGGTGGTTTTAACATGGTGGTTAAAGGGGGAAATTCTATATAAGCATCTCTGCTGGCAGGTGCTCTGCCTAAAACCTTAAGCACCAAAACAATAATTACAGAAATCTGGAAGTTTACTGACTGAGCGAAACAATATCCAAACATAATTTCAGCTGTTATAAATTTGTATATAGTTGTAAAATGGTTGTAAATTTTGAATTACTATGAAAAGTATACAGTCATCAATGGGTTACATGGCAGAATGTAACCCATTCTGCCATGACCACTTGTGGGAACCTCTGCTTTAGAGATCTATAAAGGCAGAATAGGATGAAATGGTAAAATGTGTACTACAAAGATTATGTGATGATACTCAAGTTTTGTGGGAAGGCTCGTGGCATAGCACAGACTCAAGATGAACCTTGGGAGGGTGTGCAGGGTTTTAACAGATGGAAAGAAAGTGGGAGGATGCCTCAGCTAAGCCAGCCTGAATTAGCAACATCCTGAGGGAAAGAGAAAAGCTGAATGGAGTGTGAGTAACAGTGGGAAAGTGTTAAGCTTTTAATTTATAACTTTTCGGGAAGTGGCCAGAGTAAACTATGTGTTAGAAATTTATGTTGGTAAATACTAGTAAAAATTCACACTGTAAAATTCTATATACAAATAATGGAGAACCTTGAAAGTCAGGATTGGATTATCATTTTGTCAGCTGAACTTTCTGACCTATTAACAGCAGCACAGAAGGTAGAACAGGACATACCAGTCAGGAGAGACCAGAGGATAACCCAAGATAGGGTAGCTTGTTAGGAGGTGAGGGACTGAACCAGAGTAAATGAGGTGAAAATAAAGAGGAAGGGATGAGTAGGAGATACATGTCAAATGAAACATCAGTGAGATTTAGTGACAGATTCAGCAGACTAAAGAGAAGAGAGGCTCCAGGGCTTGGAGGCCAAATGACTGAGGAATGGTGGCATTGTGTTCAGAAACAAATCTAGAGAGGGAACTTGGGAGATGGAGAATGAGTGACTGAACAACAACAAAAATATGTATATACATATGTATATATAAATATATTTTACATATATATATATATATATTTGGTGGTAAAATATATATAAAACTGACCACATTAACCATTCTTAAGTGTACAGTTCAGTGGCATTTGATACCTTCACATTTTTGTGACACCATAACCCCCATCCATCTTCACAACTTTCTCATCTTTATAAACTGAAACTGTACCCGTTAACTAACAGTCATGTCCCACTCTTAGTGACCCCATGGAGTGCAGCAGACCAGGCTTCCCTGTCCTTCACTATCTCATGGAGTTTGCTCAAACTCATGTCCTTTGAGTTGGTGATGCCATCCAACCATCTTATCCTCTGTCACCCATTCTTCTCCTGTCCTGAATCTTTCCCAGTATCAGGGTCTTTTCCAATGAGTCGGCTCTTCGCATAGGTGGCTAAAGTATTGGAGCTTCAGCTTGAATCCTTCCAATGAGTATTCATGGTTGATTTCCTCTAGGATTGACTTGTTTGATAAATACAATTGACCACTTTAACCAGATATATATATATGGTTATGAGAAGACAATATGAGCAAACTAAGTTACTGCCCTTTGCTAGATAAAATGAATTGAAAAGTTATCAGAAACAATCAGCTTGTAACAATAACTCTTTAAATTATGAACTATTTCATACATACAAATAAAATACATAACTAAATTTAGGCATAAAAGTGATGAAACACACATGTAAGCTTAAAACACAGAACATTCCTAATAGTATTGGGACTCCTGTTGCATCTCCCTCCCTCCCTCACCAAGGATAATACCATTCTGAATTTGTGTTTATCATCCTTTGCTCTTTCTTATAATATTATAAGCATAATAATTTATAATTTAATTTCTTATAATGCTATTCTTATTATATATGTGACCCTAACTAATATATGGCCTTTTCTACCCAGCATCATGAGATTCACCCTGGTGATACTTGCTGAGGACTGTGCTATCTCCCCAATGAATTGAAGCTTTTATATTATGTAGTGACCCTCTTTATTCTTACATGCTTTGTGCCTTAAAGCCTCTTTCGTCTGGTTTTGACTCATCTACATCAACTTTCCTTTGGTTATTATTTGCCTATTTATTCATATATCCTTTTACCAGCCTTTCTGTGTACTTGAACTATTTTGTATTATATTTGTAAATAACTATATATATGTGTTTTCACGTGTGCCTGAAACTAGATATTTTAAAAATCCAGTCGGATAATTTCTGTATTTTAATTGACACATTTAAGACCTTTCCTTTTTACTGATTACTGATATATGGACTTCTCTTCTATCATGTCATTTATCCACTTTTCCTATGCTTCCCCCAGCCCCTCCTTTTTTGCCTTCTTTTGGATCAATCAAGTTGTGTTGTTATTACTCTTAATTCCTTTTCTTATTTCTAATGATTGGAGGTTATATTACTTTTATGGTAATTACCCTTGAATTTCTGTATGCATATCTGACTTTTTACAAAGTCTAAAACTGATGTCTTTAGACCCTTCTTCCTCTGAACAATAGTACACAAAATGGAAGATAATGGAGTAGCACCAACCTGATACCACTTTAATTTCTTGTCTTGAGATTTCCCAACCAGGCTGGTAGTATAAATTTAAAACTTAGACCTAGCTTGTGGCTACATATTTGTGGGAGACTATTTCTACCCCAATAAGAAGCAGCAACCCTCGAGTAGGAAATGGCAACCCACTCCAGTGTTCTTGCATGGGAAATCCTATGGACTGTGTAGGGCTACAGTCCATGGGGTTGCAAAGAGTTGGCCACAACTTAGCTACTAACAAGCAACAAACAAAGCAGAAGGAAGAAAGATTTCTGTGCCACTTGCCCCTTGCCAGTAGGCAGGTATTTTCAGTCCCACCCTTTCACACTAAGTGTGTGAACCCTGAAGGGTTTCAGGTTTAGGGGAGTAAGAGAGTCTTCCTTTCAGCTGTTCACTTTTTCACTCCTTGCCTGGCCTTTTATCTCAAAGCCTCAGTTCCTGGCATCTACATTTGCCCCAAGCCAGCCCTAACCTCTTCATTTGCTTTCCACTCTCATTTCTGCCTTACTTAGGTGGCACGTGAGGATTCCCCTCACTTTCTTGCAAGCTCAGCAAAGCAATTTGAAAAGTGTGTTTGCTGGGATTTGTCTCATATCCAAGTGTTTTGAAAAGAGACAGGGCTTTTCAGAACACTTATACTCTATTTTAAAGCAAAGTCTTTTCATCTGTTGTTCATTTGTGCATGGTGTTGTATACTATCTATGGATTTTCATGTTTTGTTTCAATTTGCCCTGGAACTTTTTGAATGAAACATACAAGTGTCTCTTTACAATTAAGATTAGTATACCTGCAAAGGTATAGAGAGCTGTTCATCAAATGGCTCTTTAGTGATTATTTTTATTTGGAAAGATGTAATACAATGTCAAGTAATGGAAGATTCACAGAGTAAATTTTGCAACAACTCTTATGGGGCCAATAAGAGTTGTGTGATGTGGAAGATGGTTGTAATCTGATGTTGAGCAAATTATTTTGCATGAACCCATTTTTATTTGTACAAATATATATTTACATTGAAAAAAAGTCTGAATGGAGAGATTCAATATTTTGGGGTGCTATCATTAGAGGTCTTTTTGTTTACTTCTTATTGATAACTACCTTTTTTTTTTTAATTAGCAATAACCCTAATTTGGATAAACCTCATTGGCCAGGAAACCGCCACTGCGCAAAGCTAACCTCTACTTTTTTAATGAACAAATAATATTGTGTGTTTTTTAAGTAAATGAAAGAATTACAACAACAGAAAGGGGATTAGTGGACTTCCCTGGTGGTTCAGACGGTAAAGCGTCTGCCTACAATGCGGGAGACCCGGGTTCAATTCCTGAGTCAGTAAGATCTCTTGGAGAAGGAAATGGCAACCCACTCCAGTATTCTTGCCTGGAGAACCCCATGGACGGAGGACCCTGGTAGACTACAGCCCATGGGGTCGCAAAGAGTCGGACACGACTGAGTGACTCAACCTCTAACATAGGAGTCGTGTAACAATGGGTCTGTCTTGTGGGGTAGTGAACCCCCAATATTGAGAGTGCCTCACAGAGGCTGGGTGACCTGCTGTCGAAGATTCCTGTCATCTTATGATTCAAAGATTCTCATTTTATTTTTCCTCTGATAATAGGTCAGTCAGTCAATGCCTCGGACAGATAAGCAAATATGCATCCCCCCGGAGCTGCCGGACTTGCTGAAGCAATTCACCAAAGCCGCCATTCGGTCCCAGCCGCAGGATCTCATCCAGTGGGCTGCTGAGTATGTACTCCTCTCTCACCTCTAGCCCCTGGCTCCCTTTGGAGGCGAAGGTGACGGGTGGAGGAGGGAAGGTTTGCAAAACTGAGAGGAGGTTGTCATGGCTGCAACCTGGGAGTCGGGACTGATTAGCATAATTTTCGTGATGTTCAGCTGTCACGTTGCTTTGGTACTTTAAATCCACATAGAAATCCCACAAACCGCGAGGATGGAGGCCCTTCGCCAAGTGAACCAGACTGAGCGATTGGACGCCAGGGCTACAGTCAAAGTGTCCTAGGGCGATCAGCAAGAGTTAGATTACCACATCACATCACACAGGCACACTCCACTAGGTCCCTGCTCCCACCCCCGCCCCTCCCCACTCCCTGTCCCAGTGGAAAGAAAGGCCCCGAGTCCCTCGAAGCTTTAGCCTGCCTTTCCGTGATGTAAACCAGGGCCTCATTCTCAGGTTTCACCACCAGATGGCAGCACTACACCTGTGGGGGAGCTATGCGATGAGCCTGCGGGGCGGACTGTGTGGGATCAGTCCGAGTGGGTTCTCTCCTGAGTCAACGCCTGTAATGAGATCCCGTCCTCTACTACCGTTAAAGCTCGTTCTTGAGCCTAGCCACAGACACTTTGTATCTCGTCTTTGGGGAAACTGCTATTTTCTTGTCTTCTTTGAACTAATGTGTTCCTTCAGCATAAGGATTCCACCACCGCACTGATGATGGGGGCAGGCAGAGCAGCCGCCTGGCTTCCGTGTGCGTCAAACACGGGTGTCCTCTTTCAGGAGACACCTCTAGAGGCTGCTCAGTGGAAGGAGCTCACACAGTAACTGCTAGCCAGGATTGAAACAACTTCATACAGAAAGGCTGCCAGCTACGAAATTGCTCCTTAGACGAAAGTACCTGCTTGAAATGGGGGAACTGAGGCTTGGGGCAAAGTTACGAGTGGAACAATCCTCCCAGGGACCACTTTCAGGCTCTTTTTTACTGTTTGGTGATGGCCTCCTTAGTAGGGCTTCACTGGGAGAGGGGTGAGGAGTCAGAGGCTGCAGACCAGAGCTGGTAGGTTGGGGGAGGGGAGAGCACCTTCCTCGTGAGGTTGAGGGGGTCCATTGAGCAGTGGTGAGGAGGCGGCACTGATACCTTTGAGAAGGCTCAAGATGTATTCTAAGAGGACCCTCACAGAGTCTCCCTGGCCAGTGTGCTCCTGCTCCTGGGCTGGGCTAGTATGAAGTTTCTACAAATGGAAGGAAAATAAGCCAGTAGCGCTCATAAAAACAAGACACAAATGGGGTTGCTTTGCCTGGTAATGAGCCCCGTTTAGTTTTCCATTCTCAATTTTATATATAACCTCTAAGATTGAACTTTAAGCATCAGAAGACTAATTTCTTTTGGCACACCCAGACAGACTTTTATACTATATGATAGTTTAAAACTTCATTTTATTGTTCTTGCACTGCTGCTTTATAGCAAGAAAAATGACATTTCTTGGTATTGTCCCTGACATTTATGGGAGAAAACATTCCACTGTTGTAGTCTGCTTGTTTCCATATCGTATCGTGTGCTATAAATGTTTTAGATATCCGTGAAGAATCAGTTTGTAGTTTAACTACAGTGAAAAAGGAGAACATGACCTAAGAGTACTTTCCATCTAGTCAGACACAGAAAGCGCTTGTCAAATGGTTTTATGTGGCTTCGAAACCTGCAGCATTTTAGAGATAAAACTCCACAAAGTATTTTCAAGACAAAATGTCTATTCACCTTGAGCCACAGTTCCCCTGCATATGTGCTATCCATGAAGAAACCACCTCCCGGACGTCAGCAGGACACAAACTCATTTGTCTTGTGTTGGGTATGTGTGACCACACAAATGTGAAGAACCATGGTAATGCTCACTACAAATGAAGCCAGATAACCCACAGAGAATTACACCCATGGCTATAGACTCATTTCCACACTCTCTAACCAACTCTGCTACAAGGTCCAAAGATGCTGCTGAGTCACACCCACCCCCACACTGACCTGGTCTTCAGAGGCCACTCATGTACATTAGTAGGGTGACCTGAAAGTATTTCTTCTGTCCTCCCTGTGGATGACCTCCAAGGGGTGCCTGGAAGATGTTTTGGTCTTGGAAGCTGTTGCTCTGCATTGTGTGATGACTTAGAGACAAACCATGGTTTACCCCATCATTGTATGTTGTTCAATCTCTCAGCTGTGTCCAGCTCTTTATGACACATGAACTGCAGCACACCAGGCCTCCCTGTCGCTCAGTATCTCCTGGAGTTTACCCAAGTTCATGTGCATTGAATCAGTGATGCTATCCAACCATCTCATCATTGTATGACTTCACCCTAAAATGGGCTTTTATAAAATTTCATCTGAATTCTTTGTATATTACCTGGAGCTGGAGAAATTAATAAAAAGTAAGAGAGGGGCAGAGGCTGTGATCCATGCGTAGTCAATAACAAGGCTTCTAATGGAAACAGGCCTTTCCCATAGCATCAGTGCCCTGTGGATCAACTGCTCATGTCTGTTCTCTGCTGCAGGCAGCCAGTTTCCTTCGTAGGTCAATCCCAAAACAGAACGCAGTGTTTTTCCCACTGCACCAAAACAAAGTGCATTCCACAAAGCACTGATGTTCAGGCAGATGTCACTAAAAATTTTGAGGGAAGATAAAGGAAGATTTTAGGGCTTCCCAGATGGCTCAGTGGTAAAGAAACTGCCTGCCAATGCAGGAGACTCCCACTAGTTAATGGGACTTCCCAGGTGGAGCTAGTGGTAAAGAACCACCTGCCAACGTGGGAGACATAAGAGATACAGGTTCAATTCCTGGGTTGGGAAGATCCTCTGGAGAAAGGCATGGTAACCCACTCCAGTATTCTTGCCTGCAGAATCCTGTGGACAGAGGAGCCTGGCAGGCTACGGTTCATAGGATTACAAGGAGTTGAACATGACAAAGTGACTTAGCACATAGCATGTAGCACCACTGCCTAATACCAACTTTAAGTATGTGGATAGCCATCATACCAAGCATAAAGATTTTTATGTTTGAAAAAAAGGTCCTTCAGGTACTAGGATTCTTCCTTCATAAAAAAGAGTAGGGGATTTAAAACAACAATAATTTTCTCTCCTTTTATATGCATACATATATGTAGACATGTGTATGTATATATACTATATATATTATTATATCTCAACACACATATGCCTGTATATGTGTGTATGTCTCTTTTTGTGCATGTACACACATAAATGTAAAACATTTAGGAAGGAATGACCAAAAAAATACCCAGACCCAGTATGCTTCAGGGAATTTCATACCAAACTTTTGTTGGTTATTCCACATCCTTAAAGAAAAACAAATCTACTTACTCCCTAAGCCATCTTTATACCTAATTGTGAAGTAACACATTCAGGCTTTTCCTGTACATAAATGAACTAAAGACATCTGGCATATTTGTCATTGTTGTTTAGTTGCAACCCCATGGACTGTAGTCCAACAGGCTCATCTGTCCATGGGATTTTCCAGGCAAGAATACTGGAGTGGGTTGCCAGTTCCTTCTCTGGGGGATCTTCCTAACCCAGGGATGAAACCTGCATCTCCTGCTTGGCAGGCAGATTTTTAACCACTGAGCCACCTGGGAAGTCCATCTAGCCTACAGAAGCCACTTAATAAATGTTCTTTCCTCCTCCCCTACCCTCAAAAAAAGGGGAGAAGGGATTCCCAAAGCAGCAGAGGCCACTGAAGTACAGGCTGCTCCCCCACCCCTTTTTTCTTGTAGTTATTTTGGGACTATGTCCCGTGGAGAGATTCCTCCAGTGGGAGAGCGGTCTGAGCGAGTGGCTTTGTCTAACTGGGCTGAGCTGACACCGGAGCTGTTAAAGATCTTGCATTCCCGGGTAAGCATCAACGGGCAGTGCAGATAAGGAATGTGGGGGTGACACTGAGTTTGGGTGGATACAGACAAAAGTCCCCTTGCTCATCAGCTGGCCACTCAGCACTGTCTTAAAATCCACTAAAGCATGCACTGAGAGTAAATCTTCCCTTGTGGAAATAGGAATGATGCTGAAATAGGCTGTAAGCTGACTTGTCACTTGGGTCATTCCGCATTGTCCTGAGGCTGCCAGAACAGTCAGGGGCTCAGTGCAATTTGAATTCCTTCTCTCTAGAAAATGTAGGTCCACATCCCCTGACAGTGTCTTCCTTACTGATCAAGTCCAGATGTGATGCCAATCAGAGTTTGGGAAGGGGCATATTATAGTTCCCCAGCTATTTCAGGTGCCAACATAGCCTTGCTTTTAGGCTCTCTGCACAGCCATATCATCCTGGGAGCTGTCCTGTGAATGGTTGAGAAGGGTCTGTCCTAGGAAAACTTGCAGCTTGGCCAACTCCCAAGAAATATGATTTAGCACTACCATACCTCATTTTAGGATACAGGTTTGAGGTGATTCAGGATTGACTTAGCCAAATGCCTTGGTTCCTCCCAGAGGCTTAGCATTTCACTGGAATCAGAGGACCAGGGAAGGCATAGTAGCACTTCACCGGGGCATCTGCACCCTTATTGTATTGTTGACCAACAACTAGCCACTGTTATCTTCTTTTGACTGCCAAGCACTTTGTGCAGTCGACATGGCAGAGAGCCGAGGTACCTGGGAACAAGCAACATCAGGCATCCAGACCATAGACCCCGTATTAAAGCAATGCATTCAGAATCTGGTGCAAAGAACTCAGTGGAGTCTAGAAGCAAGAGATTTAACATCTAGTTCTAGTTAGCTCTAGTTTCACCACTAATTAGTGTTCTCAGACAAGTTCTCTACTCCTTGGTTTCATTTTCAGGCTGCCCTCTCTGCCTTATAGGGACAACCTAGGGATGAAACAGCAGATAATAATAAAAGACCTACAAAAAAATTAATATACATGTATGTTTTCCCCATAACTCTGATACCTGAAGTTCAAGTGATTAAATTATATCTCAGAAAGTTCTTCACTAGGCTGAACGCTTCTCTACCCTTGCAAAGAGAACTGCCGGAGTCCCCACTGACCCGACACCTTCCCCCACCCCTGGCTGTGTGCTGGGAGAACAGGGCCCTTGCCCTGGCAGTTGTCCCCGGGCCTTCTCTCCTCCTACCCTCTTCCCTTGTCTCACGCCGGCCCCCCGCCCCGCAGGTCGGCGGCAGACTGATTGTCCATGCAGGTGAGCTGGCCCAGATGTGGAAGGTGCTGAATCTCCCAGCTGACTTGTTTAACAGTGTGATGAATGTGGGCCGCTTCACGGAGGAAATTGAGTGGCTGAAGTTTCTAGCCCTTACTCCCTCCATTCATGTTCCTAAAGATAAGCAAGAGCCAGCTGTAGATGAAGATTGGCTTATAGTTGGGTTTCAGACACCTAGAAGATATACCAATAGAGATTTTAAAAAAGAGATGCAGCCTTATAGAAAACTACTGTATGATAAGCATAATTGGATACAGAAGTCAGAGATAAGAGAGCAGGAAAGAAGATATGAGGCTGTTTCCAGATTCATAGTCATGACATCACCATGGATGCAGGATGTTCATACAAACTCATGCCTTTTCCAAATTTGACTTGATTTACAATTGGAAAAGCCATTTTCCCATTTCAAAGAAACCAGTTCATGTACATACTTAAAAGCTTTAGGTATCATGTTATATGTGGACTCACTCTTGTTAAACACTGTTATAATAGCAAATGAAAATGAGTCAGAAAAATGATTTTTTAAAAATTCCTAAAATATGTACAAATTTAAAAATTAATGAGAAAATTATTGCTTCTACCAAAACCAAATGGTACAAAAAAGGTAGTTTGAATCATTCAGTATATCTAAATACAACCTTGTTCTTCCTTCTCAAATATCCTGAGTATGTGTACTTGACATATTTGTTTGCAAGAAAAGTTATCAGAAATACTGTAGTCCAACTTCTCCTGTGATTCTGCTTGACTTTCAGCATAATTATTTCTTTAGAGAGGAAGAGAGAAGAGGTCATTCTTGGGTTTTTTCCTTTTTCACAGCCTTTCCTAGCACTCTTATGCAATGAATAAACTATTCCCATCAACAGAGGCAAATGAGTTGCCAATAAGCACTGCCACACTTCTGTGGAAATAGCCCCATGGATTGGGGGGCAAATCACAGAGGAAAAATGAAAAATGGACACATTTTATTAAATTCTTGTAAGGTCACAAGCTTACTCACTCCACATTCAGAGATGCTCACGGAGGGGGGAAATGTACTTTCTCTGTAGTTAATCCTGCTCTTCCCCACCTACCCTACCCATGAAGAGTTGAATAAGAAAAGAATAGATTCAACCCAACCCAGGAATTTTTCACCTGCTGCAGTAACTAAAAACAACTTTCAGATGAATTACTCAGTTTCTCAGATTTCTCCTCACAGCTCCTCTCTGCAAGGTGGCAGTTGAATGTTCAAGGAAAGGGGTGATGCTGGGATCTCAGAGCACCCAGTAAGAGGGTTCCCACCTCCCTTGGTCCTCTCCAGCATCTCTGATCTCCATGGAAACACTCACCTGTGTGGTGGCTAGCTATGCAGCTGAAGTCTTTGGTCTTTTCTCTCTCACAGCACAATAGTCCCACAACCAGCACATCTCCATTCTCCCCGGTGTTCAGGGCCTCCTTGAGTGTCTTCCAGATTGCCCTCATCTGCTCCACATCACAGCCCCCACCACCTTGGAGGTGTCTGAGTCCTCTCATCCATATGCCTCACAGTAACCCAGAGTGACTTTGGAAAACCAAATTCCAACCCTCCCTCTGAAGCTGCTAGGTTTACTTTGACATGGCTGCCACCCACACCACGGGAAAAAAAACCATGAGGTGAATTGTTTCTACTTCCCTGTTAAAACAAGGAGGTTTGATTAAATGTTCCATGAGGTTCTTTGACCTCTATCATCCTGTGATTCTGTTCCACCTTCTCGGCTTCCACTGAGACACCCTCAAGCCTAGCTTAGGATAGCAGTGGACCCACCAATTCTGAGAGGTGATGAGGTGTCTGACTTTGTGTCCTATATCCTTATGTCAAGAGCGCCTAGTGCTGAAGTCAGCCTGCAGGTCTAGTCCATAAATAAAGGGTGCCCTGTGAATCCAGGAGCCAATCCCATTTTACCCATTTGTTTCATGTTGGACTGTTGCTGGGAACTTAAACGTGGGAGAGGTCAGGGTGTCACCATCTGGAGGAGGGTTGCATTCTTGCTAATCCATACATCCTTCGAGGCAAGCCCAGAAATTCCTGCCTTGCTTTGCTAACTCAGTCAGCCATGATATCCATGTCATTTAGGAAATCAAGTCCCCTCCTTACAGAGAATCTAATGGCAGAAATTTTAGGAGGCAGGTACATTTACTCCAGTCTTGAGCTCCCTGAATCTACATGTGATTCAAAGTGCCACAGATATACTTCCCTTTGGCCATGAGTTCCTCTTCCCTTTGAGTATTCCTTCCTCTAGAATACCTCTCCACCTCCTGTTCCACTGAGACCAATTATATACAAGAAGAGGTTGTGTGATGTGTTCACTAGAAGGAAGGGCATGTTTTGTCAGCAAATAATTCACTTTCTGAGGCTTTTACCTCTGAGTTTTAAAAAGAGGCTTGCGAGATGCTTAAAGGTTATCTTTATGGAGTGGACCCCCATCTGACCAAAATATCTTGTGCAACAGAATGCAGACCTCTGTTTTTATTGTTGTTTAGTAGCTAAGTCATGTCTGACTCTTTGTTACCCCAGGGACTGTAGCCTGCCAGGCTCCTCTGTCTATGAAATTTCCCAGGCGAGAATACTGGAGTGGGTTATCATTTCCTTCTCCAGGGGTCAAACCTCTGTCTCCTGCATTGGCAGGGAGGTGTTTTTTTTTTTTTTTTTTCCCCTGAGCCATCTGAGAAGCTCAGATCTCTGTTTACTTTAGGTTTATTTAAGTTTACCAAAAAGCTCCAGTCCAGAGAGTTCTTATCCACTCATCTATTAAATATTTGAAAATCTTATGAGGGCAATAGAATTTGAAGGTTTGTTGTTTGAATAATCAATAAAAGATGTTTGGGGCAGAAAGCAAGGGCTGCCATAACAGTGTACCACAGAATAGGTGGCTTAAACACAAGCAATTTTTTTTGGAAGCTGGAAGTCTGAGGTCAAGGTGGTTGTAAACGGAACCACCTTGGCTTATGAATGGAACTTGTCTCCCTTTTCTTCATGTGGTTGTCCCTCTCTGCATTCATAAGTCTGGTCTCTCTCTCTCTCCCCCTCTCTCTCTGTATCATAATCTCTTCTTGTAAGGACACCAGACCTATTGGATTAGAGTCCACTCTAGTGACTTCCTTTTAACTTAATTAGCTCTTTCAAGGCCCTATCTCCAAATACAATCACATTCTGAGGTCCTAAGAGTTAGGGTTTCAACATATGAATTTTGGGCAGATATAACTCAGCCCGTAACAGAACCCCAATTTGGATGAGGCTGTAGGAGGAGGACTACAGAACAAAGGCAATAGGACAGTAGGGTTAAAAAAAAAAAAAAAAAACACAGAGAGGATGAGCTATAGATGGAAATTATGAAGTTCGTGGACACATGCTCGTAAATCTACCCAAAACCACTGTCACGCTGACCTCAAGCCATGCACATCCCCTCCCATCCTCTTTGACAACCTCTTACCAGCCTCCTGTGTGCCCATCCCCCCACCCTCCTCAGTGGAAGCGCCTGGCACACTGCGGCACACAGCGCTTCACAATAGCCTCCAGGAGAGAACTCCCAAGGGCAGGAGAGAGACAGTAAATGGAAGTGGCCTGCTCCCCTCCTGTGGCATGGCTCCAAGTGTGTCTCTGTAGTAGATAAGCTGTCCTAATCACTGCAGCCCTTCAGAACTAAGACCAGAGAGAAGTATTATTATTATTAATTATAATTAAGAAATTATTCTAATTTTGTAGGATGCAAAATCAAATTACTCTCTTTAAGTGAGGTTATTCTCATTAAGGTAATAAATGTCTTAAAGCACTCAATAGTTTATAAACTTAATTCCTTGAAAGTATCCCTCCCACCAAGAAAGGAAAGGAAATATTATAGAAGAAAAGTAGAGAGAGAGGCGAATATATTTTCAAAATGTGAAGCAAGTGATTTAAGAAAATCATACGGGGAGAAGAAAGGTAATAAAGGAAATAAAATAGTAACACAGTCCAAAGATTCTCCAGTTACTTCTAATGTTTACTCCTGGAGGACTTTAGTGATTCACACCATTTGTTTGGACATTCAGGTGACTAATCTTTATTATTAATATAAGTGTATTCATTTGACCTAGGTTTGATTTTACCTTTCTGATAAGAGGGTTTGCTGTTTATATATTCTAATCATTATCTTCCATAGAGATGGTAGTTGTGGTTTCTTTAAAGTACTTATTTTGTGAATAGATAGGGTTGCCACAACAACAAAAAAAGAAAGACACCCAGTAAGATACTCAGTATTTTGAGATTAAATTCACTGACATTCGGCAAAAAACAATTCAAGCTTTCCAGAATATTGCATCATCTCCACTTAATTTTATGAGAGCAAGGTTTTTGTTTTCTTTGTTATATCTAAACTGACCTTAGGAATTTAGTGTGGAGTAGTGACCTTCTCCTCACTTAACCTTCTGGTTTTATAGACCATTGCCAAAACTCTCAAGATAGTGTGTGAAGTGTTATCATCGGACCATGACAGCGGCCCTCCCCGGATCCCTTTCAGCACCTTCCAGTTTCTGTACACATATATTGCTGAAGTGGATGGGGAGATCTCAGCATCACACGTCAGTCGAATGCTGAACTACATTGAACAGGAAGTGTAAGCAAACATTTAGCAATTGGAGGGGAAAGAGTATATGGAAAACAAATCCAGCAGACCAAGGCATAGTGAGGTTACTGTATTATGCAGCTCTGGGAACAGAGGAATGTTGTGAAGAACAGTAAATAAGGATCAGAAAGAGAAGGGGAAATGGAAGAGAGAGAATGGTATAGGAGAGTGACTCTTAGAGTGCTACCCAGACCATCAGCAGCAGCACCTGGGAATGTGTTAGAAATGCAATTTTTCAGGCTGTACCCTAAACCCATCAAATCAGAAACTCTGGGGGTGAGACCAGGCACCTGTGCTTCAGCAAGTCCTCCAAGTGACTCTGGCTCACATTCAGGTTTGACCACTGGTGGAGGCGGGGTGGAGGAGGAACAGACAGACAAGAGGTCAGAGAAAGAGCGGGTGATGAGGGCAGGAGCCACAGCAGAATTCAGTTGGAGGGAGAGGGTTGTTCATATATTGTTTTTCTTAAGATTACGTGTTAAATAAACTAACACCCAAATATTTTTTTTTCCCAAACAGTATTGGTCCTGATGGTTTAATCAAGGTGAATGACTTTACCCAAAACCCCAGGGTTCGGCTGGAATAAAAGCACACTTTTGGCAATTTTAAAGGAAGATAACAGGGATGATTGTGCTTCAAAATGACTGAACCCCATATACCATCCAAAGTCAACTTTCTTGTGTAACTGGTACACACTAATAAACAATTAGGCAAACATATGAAATCAGAAATGTGTGGAATTAATATGTAAAGTTGTTGAGCCATAATACCTCCATTAACAGATTAGTATTCTTCCCACATGGACACTGTGTAAAGTGACTAATGAAGCACGGATAGAAAAAACATCTTGAGTGAAAGCCAGGCTGTCGGATTTTCAGAGGTGGAATGTTATCCAGACACAGTTTTGATGTTTTGTGACTGGTAGGCATAATTTACATGAGCATCTTTTACATGATAAATCCACATTTTTACCAGTTTACTTCTCCATTTGTTGTTTTGATGTTAGTTCATTCATTCATTCATTCATTCACTTAGCAATGTTTATTGAGGCTAGCTGTATGCCAGGGATAAACAGGTAAAATATAGAACACTCAATTGAACAAACAATTTTTTTTTTTTTTTAGTAATTTGTGTTTTATTCTTTTGCTACACCTGGCAACCCTAGCCAGGAACTATGCTGGCTTCTGGGCATATGCAAATAAATCATGTGTGAATTCTGCCTTTAAGGAGCTCACAGTCTAACGTGAAGATAAAAGATGAACTTAAAATCAATTTAATGTACGTGCTCTAAGAGGCATTAAAAAGCACTTCAGAGATGATTATTGAAGTTTCCAGATTAAGGTGCTGACACCATATCCAAATATAATGAGACCCTCTTAGGAAAATCTCTCTGCATGAGCTTAAGACCTTCTGACAAGGTTACCAGATTTTTCTTTCTCCCAGGAAGCCACAAGATTAACAGCCTATGTGGTTATTGTTCTTAAGGCCAGGTGTGCCCAGGTTGCCTTTCTATCTGTAATACTATCCCCTCTTGAAAGTTGTTTTTGTATAAAAACCATGTTGCCTTTTTCATAATACATACAGCTCTCTACTGAATTGGGGAAATTTTTGTCCATTAGTATCTAAATAAGTAAAAGAAGATTGTGATGGGATGTCACCACAGGCCCTAGAGTGAAACAATAAAAAGGGCTGAAACGAATTCTACCCCTGTGGTCATCTGGCCACACCTGCACAGGATAGGGAACAACTAATTCTCCCTGCTCTTTGCCATCAGCCAGAGTGACCCATCAGTTATATCCACTCTGGAACCTTCGGTTGTTTGAAAGGCTGAAGCACTGCAGGTGAAACCCTGCACTGTAATTAAGCAGGGTTAGAGAGTGACTGTGGAGAAGGCAATGGCACCGCATTCCAGTACTCTTGCCTGGAGAATCCCATGGGAGGAGGAGCCTGGTAGGCTATAATCCCTGGGGTCACTAAGAGTTGGACATGACTGAGTGACTTCACTTTCACTTTTCACTTTCATGCACTGGAGAAGGAAATGGCAACCCACTCCAGTGTTCTTGCCTGGAGAATCCCAGGGACAGAGGAGCCTGTTGGGCTGCCGTCTATGGGGCTGCATAGAGTCGGACACGACTGACGTGACTTAGCAGCAGCAGCAGCAGCAGAGAGTGACTGACATCTTTTAACCTGCCTCAGTCTCTCTATTTCTCTTTCACTGTGACCAAAGAATTTTAAATATGATCTTGCCTGGTAGGGAGGAGTGAAGGGGAGCTGAGTTTGAAAGACCCTAAGACAACAAGTTCATAGAATAATAAAAGTTAAAAGATCTTTTGTACATTTGAGAAAACAGATTGAAATTAGAAACTAAACCTCAGTGGTCCTGAGCATAATCCCTGAAGAGTAAGGCTACTGAAATGTCAGCCATGAAAGTGAGTCCTAAAGACAGACATGAAATCACTGGCAGTACTGTTGCCGTCAGCTGAGACTCAGCACAGCTGGCGATACCAGTGGGGCACAGTCCATTGCTCATCTTCCAGGCCACCACTTGGTGTCTGCCATCTTCCTCCTCTCCTTTCCCAGCGGTGATGCTTCCTCCAAGACATTGATATTACCAAACCATAGATGTTCATCAGGGACACAGCACATCTGCACAGCACACCTCATCTACAGCACATCTCCCAAATTAACCTGCTGCAGCAGTCACCCCGATGGTGAAAAACAGCCTTTCCGTCTACCTGTGCTATACTGTGTTAACAATATTATGAATAATATAGTAATGATAATAGCCAACATTTATTAAGCACTTCCTATGTGCAAGTCACTGTGCACAACACTTTACAGACATTCTCAATTTTTTCTTTATGACCTGACCTTACAAAGTCAGTACTATTATCCCCATTTTATAGATGAAAAACCAGTCTTAGGGAAATTAAGTTATTCATTGTCACTGGTAAGAAGGAATTTGAATTCAGGTCTGTTTGATTCCATACTTGTGCTGCCCTGCCTGCACGGTGCCTATCTTAGTATGGAGTTTTCCCTCAGAAACAGCCTCTGAGACAAGAATTTAAATGTATGTAGTTTGTTTGGGAGGCAATCCCAGGAATAGTGGAAGGGGAGTAGAGACAGTAAGATGGTGAAAGGAAGAAAGCCAATAGAGATATGTTTATCAAGTCAGTTATCCCTGGAGGACTCTGGAGGCAGTATAGATCACGCCTCGTGGTTACCCAACCTGAGGGCTGAGGAAACTCTCCATCATCAGCTAAGAGACATTCACTTTCTGGCATTAACAGCTTGACCAGCTCATGGCCTGAGCTTGCTCCTTTTACTCCAGAAAAATAAAATGCTCTTATGTAGGAAGTTACAGACGTACACAATAAGAAACCTTTTAAAGCATACGGATGAGGTGCCACCAGCCTCTGCACAATGCCTTACAGAGACTTTAATGGTTTTTAGCATTTTGATCACTATTGTTTCTCTCCTAGGGTGAGGGCCAATCAATAGGGGCTCCAGGGCAATGAGTGACTTGACACTGTGCTGTTGTAAAATCACAACCTTGACCTTCAAACTGACACACTGTCCCAGACCAACTGCTTGGTGTAACTTCCCTAGTTGAGATCATTCCAGAGGGGTCCACTTGGTCTTTGCTGCCAGTAGACCCTTTTCAGACCAATCCCCTGCCCTTCCTATCATGGCCAGAAATATCTGAATCCTAGCATGACCTCAGTTAAGCTGTCTAATTGAGACCCTTGTAACATATGGTTTGTACGTCTCCTTTAAAAAGAACAACATTCAGGAAGCAATAAAACCAGGATTTTTTTAAACAAAAAAAGTGGTCTCTTTCTTTCCTAAATTAAGCTATTTTGATTAAAGTGAAGACTGCAGATATATTTAAGGCTTCAGTAGGAAATGCAAAGATTATGACTCAATTCCACTTTCTCTGTGCTCCATGCCCTTTCTCTCCTGGATGCTGTTCAATCAGACACCTCTCTAACCCCAGTTAACCAAAAACTTCCAAGATCTCCAGGGGCCCCGAAATGGAAGGCACTGGACACTCAAGTGTGGAAAGCTGAGTTTGAATCATGTAAGAATGGGATTCTTAACCTGAAATTTTTGGAGAGACTCCTGAATGCCTCTGATAATGTTGTATAAGAATGTTTCATAAATGTGCACATTTGCATTTTTCTGAGGAAAAATTTAAAAGCTTCTAGCAAATTCTCAAAATTGTATAGGATCTCAAAAAGTTAAGAACCCTTGTGTTAGAAATAATTACACAAGTCATCAAATGATTTGAGGAAAAGCAATACAGCAGTCTCAGATCTTTCCAAGCAGAAATGAGTTCATGTTTCTAAGCTTTAATTTATTATTCAGTTCACAGCCGATTCTTATTTCCTGGCTACAAATCTTAACTGTGTTTTTAGTTTAGATTTTCATATACTTTGCAACTTTGATGGTTTCCTATAAACTGAAACATGGTTAAACATGAACAAATACTTTCACACTTTAGAGGTGAGCCAACTGGAAAAAGTCATTGGTCCAAGGTACTATGGCCTAGACCAAGCTGAGTCATTAACCATGATACTACAGGGACCTACATTTCCCTATTAGGCTTAAAGGACTGAGTCCTGAATAATTTTGAGTCTTGGGCTACCCTGGTGGTCCAGTGGTTAAGACTCTGGCTTGCAGTGCAGAGACATCAATTTGATCCCTGATCTGGGAAAATTCCGGGCTTCCCACCAGCTTGTGGCTCAGCTGGTAAAGAATCTGCCGGCAATGTGGGAGACCTGGGTTCAACCCCTGCATTGGGAAGATCTCCTGGAGAAGGAAAAGCTACTCACTCCAGTATTCTGGCCTGGAGAATTCCATGGACTGTATAGTCCATGGGGTCACTAAGAGTCAGACACGACTGAGCAACTTTCACTTTCACTGGGAAGAGTCCACATGCCTCGGGGTAAGTAAATCCTGGGTTACAACTACTGAAGCCCTTGTACCTAGAGCCTGGGCTCCACAAGAGAAGTCACCACAATGAGAAGCCTGTGCACTGCAACTAGAGAGTAGCCCCTGCTCACTGCTTCTAGAGAAAGCCCACATGCAGCAATAAAGACCCAGCACAGCTAAACATAAAAATAAATGAAAAAAATAATAATCCTGAGTTTCAGAACATGCAAATAGCCGTCAGCCCCAATGCAACAAAGGAGTCCAAACACTGGTTGGTTCATTTGTTTACTCAACCATTAAAAAATTCCTACTATGGACTCCCTGGTGGTTCAGTGGCTAAGAATCTGCTTCAGTGCAGGGGACTTGGGTTCAATCCCTGGTCTCAGATTCCACATGCCATGGGCAACTCAGCTTGTGCACCACAACTACTAAAGCCTGTGTGCCCTAGAGCCTGGACCTCACAACTAGAGAAAGCTTAAGCACAGCGCAGACCCAATGCAGCTGTAAATAAATAAATAAATAAAATTCCCACTCTGCACAAGACATTGTGCTAGGTATTAGGGATGCTACACTGAATAAGATAAGTTTCTTGCTTCGTAGAAATGAAATTCTACTTGGGAAGACATCAAGTAACTAATCATGCAAAATAGCTCAGTTGGTAAAGAATCTGCCTGCAATGCAGGAGACCTGGGTTCAATCCCTGGGTTGGGAAGATCCTCTGGAGAAGGGAAAGGCTACCCACTCCAGTATTCTGGCCTGGAGAATTCCATGAACTACCATGGGGTCACA